AAGAGCATGTTCCAAAGCCTTTTGAATGGCTAGCATCTCTGTTTGTAAAATCGAACACCCATTTGAGAGCCTCCAACTATTTACAGAGTTTCTTGCTTTAACTGCAGCTCCGGATTCTTGTCCCTGCTGGTCTACTGATCCACAACCTTGCAGCTTCCTGGGAATTGGTTGCTTTCATGTCAGTTTCTTCCAGAGAAGGCATAGCACCTAGGCTGTTTTGTAGCAAATAAGGGGTCTCTCTGGAGGGATCTCTCCATCAGTTTCATCCCTTGTTTCCAGCAGGTCGATTGCCTCATACTGGATCGGGTTAGGATTCTCCTTGAGTTTCTTTATCTCTTCAATGGTTGTTCAAAGCTCACGCTGGCGGCTCTTTATTGTTTCATTCATTTCCCTCCTTTCTTTGCTGAAGTCCTCAAATGCTTGATTGATCATCTCGCAGGTAGTATCCCCAGTTCTGATGACCAAACAAACCACACACACTAAAAGACGAAGAAACGACGACGTTTCGCTCTATTTCTGGACCATTATCATGTCGTATGTGATGTGAGAGAGATGATTGATGAGGATTTAGCCACCCAAGAGGTGGCACGGGCTTCAGTAGCCCATAAGATAAGAGAGAGGAAGTCATGTGCAATAAGAAAGAAAAAAATGAGGTGAGGAGCAGGTCAGAGAAGAAGGTAATAACTAAAAGAAGGTAAGCTGTAAGGTGGAGGGCAGATAAGAGAAGAAGGTAATTCTTAGAAGAAGGTAAGAGTAAGGGAAAAGTTAAAAATAGGATGGAATGTACAAATGGAATGAGTGTAATAATGGGATGAAGGAAGAATGGGATAAGTAAGAATAAGAGGAGGGTAAGAGAAAGGGGGCTGGCTTATGTTAGGTCACGTTAGTTAGGAAGGTTAGACCATTTGAGTATGTACTGTGAAAGGGATGAATCAACAACAACATAGGTCAGGTCACTTTTATATCCGTTAATCTCTCATCTTGGGTCATCTCCTATTAATGTATTTGTTTCTAGCTCTGTTTCATCTAATCTTATTGCCCTCTCTTCTTAGTCCTCTGTACATACTCTCCTCCCTCGTGTTTCTCATTTTGCTTCCTGGTACTGTCTATTAAACCATAGGATTTTGTATTCTCTCCCACAATTTTCCATTTCTCTTGGTATAAACCCTCTTCGGCCTTCTTGCATTTCCACTTGACTAAGTCCATAATATCTTGCACTATTTTCCTCTTAGTTCTTCTTCCCACTGCACTTCTCCCAGATATTCAGAAAGACAAGGTGTGGGGGAGGAAGCACCAACCATAGCACAACGTGTGGTGGAGGAATCTCCTCCCACAGAACAAGGTGTGGGGGAGGAACCTCCCAGCACAGCACAAGTTGAGGAGGGGGGAACCTCCCACCACATCACAAGTTGAGGAAGGGGGGGACCTCCCACCACAGCACAAGTTGAGGAAGGGGGGGACCTCCCACCACAGCACAAGTTGAGGAGGGGGGACCTCCCACCACAGCACAAGTTGAGGAGGGGGGACCTCCCACCACAGCACAAGCTGAGAAGGGGGGGACCTCCCACCACAGCACAAGTTGAGGAGGGGGGGACCTCCCACCACAGCACAAGTTGAGGAGGGGGGACCTCCCACCACAGCACAAGTTGAGGAGGGGGGACCTCCCACCACAGCACAAGTTGAGGAGGGGGGACCTCCCACCACAGCACAAGTTGAGGAGGGGGGACCTCCCACCACAGCACAAGTTGAGGAGGGGGGACCTCCCACCACAGCACAAGTTGAGGAGGGGGGGACCTCCCACCACAGCACAAGTTGAGGAGGGGGGAGTTCCCACCACAGGGGGAGTTCCCACCACAGCACAAGTTGAGGAGGGGGGACCTCCCACCACAGCACAAGTTGAGGAGGGGGGACCTCCCACCACAGCACAAGTTGAGGAGGGGGGACCTCCCACCACAGCACAAGTTGAGGAGGGGGGGACCTCCCACCACAGCACAAGTTGAGGAGGGGGGGACCTCCCACCACAGCACAAGTTGAGGAGGGGGGGACCTCCCACCACAACACAAGGAGTGGGAAAGAAACCTTCCACGATAGCACAAGGTGTGGGGGGTTGGGAACCTCATACCACTGCACAAGTTGTGGAGGGGGAACCTTCCACCACAGCACAAGGTGAAGGGGAGGAGCTTCCTACCACAGCACAAGGTGTCGGGGAGGAACCTCCTGTGGGAAATCTCTTGGCAGGCATTTTCTTAATTAAAATTCATTTAAATGAGTGGACTCTATGAAGCGGACTATATGGTTAATTTCATCTTCGGCTGGGTGTTACCCTTTTCACTTATAATGGGGCGTTTATTCAATAATAATATATCAACCGTAATCATGGAGTGATAACAAATAATTATATTGGTTACTTAGCTAATCTACATGTTGTTAAGTGAAGTACTATGTGAGCTTATGTGTCTAGACGTTTTCCGCATGAACAATCAGAGAACACAGGAGCGGACGACAAGTGTGGGCCGGACGACAAGTGTGGGCCTCGTGGCTACTGCGTCACTGCACTCTCGGGTGATGAAACAGGTAGGCTGGTCTCTCAGGTCGTCACAGGTAGGCTGGTCTCTCAGGTCGTCACAGGTAGGCTGGTCTCTCAGGTCGTCACAGGTAGGCTGGTCTCTCAGGTCGTCACAGGTAGGCTGGTCTCTCAGGTCGTCACAGGTAGGCTGGTCTCTCAGGTCGTCACAGAAGATCTGCCGAAAGGTCACAACTTAACAATTACTACAACCTATTTTCTATTTGTATTACTAGACAGATCTGAAAGTTATTTAACAAAGAGCTGCAAGAGGCTAACTCTGTTTTGTTATTAAGCATGTCTTGTAACCTGGATGAACCACACATTTTCTCGAGCTCGAAAAAAAAGTTTAAACATATAAATACAACTGGGACGAGATGTCTCGTAACTGGAGGATGTGGCAGCAGAAGTGGTGATGACCTGTTACACGAGTACTGCCCAGCTGCACCTGGGAGCCCCTCACGAGCGCCACGCTAGCCTCTGGGAGCCCCTCACGAGAGCCACGCTAGCCTCCTAATAGGCCCACCCCTCTCCCTCTTCCGTGGCTAGTTACGTCACTCATAAGAGTGTAAATTCAGTTCATTATATTATAATGAACCTCTCTTCCTCTCTTCATTATGAACGAAGAGAGGAAGGTGTTAATTCATATATAATTTTATTGGTCCCAATCACAAGGAACAGTTTATTACTGTTTGGAACGCTGTATAGAAAATGATTAAGTAATTGAGACATAATATGGGGATAGAATTTATGGTGTGACTATTGATCTTACCGCATGAAGCGCACAATCACGGCGGGTCAGTTGAACTGCAAAGGCGAAAGTCAGAGTTCTATCTAGATTTTGAGTGAATCCAATCTTTTTTTTTTTTTTTTTTTTTTTTTTTCGCGAAGAATCGTTTTTTCATCCAAGTACACATTTTACTGTTGCGTTAAACAGAGGCTACAGTTAAGGAATTGCGCCCAGTAAATCCTCCCCGGCCAGGATACGAACCCATGACATAGCGCTCGCGGAACGCCAGGCGAGTGTCTTACCACTACACCACGGAGACTGCCAAATTGCTAATACAGCAATTTGCAAATGAAAGCAGATTGCAGACTGGAAGTATTGAAAATTAGGCAGAATAATAGTCACTACACACACACACACACGTGGAGGCTGATGCAATCCTCCTGTGCTTCCTAGGAAACTTCTGGACGTTCACTCACTAGAAATTAATATCGTTAGTAAAATTAGTTTCCTAAAATAACAAATTTAACTTATTATAAGTAATTTGGGTGTCTGGAATATCCGATACTTCCCACCACAGCACAAAGTGTGGGGGAGGTGCATCCCACCACAGCACAAGGTGTGGGGGAGGAACATCCCACCACAGCACAAGGTGTGGGGGAGGAACATCCCACCACAGCACAAGGTGTGGGGGAGGAACATCCCACCACAGCACAAGGTGTGGGGGAGGAACGTCCCACCACAGCACAAGGTGTGTGGGAGGAACCTCCCACCACAGCACAAGGTGTGGGGGAGGAACCTCCCACCACAGCACAAGGTGTGGGGGAGGAACCTCCCACCACAGCACAAGGTGTGGGGGAGGAACCTCCCACCACAGCACAAGGTGTGGGAGGAGGAACCTCCCACCACAGCACAAGGTGTGGGGGAGGAACATCCCACCACAGCACAAGGTGTGGGGGAGGAACATCCCACCACAGCACAAGGTGTGGGGGAGGAACCTCCCACCACAGCACAAGGTGTGGGAGGAGGAACCTCCCACCACAGCACAAGGTGTGGGGGAGGAACATCCCACCACAGCACAAGGTGTGGGGGAGGAACATCCCACCACAGCACAAGGTGTGGGGGAGGAACATCCCACCACAGCACAAGGTGTGGGGGAGGAACCTCCCACCACAGCACAAGGTGTGGGGGAGGAACCTCCCACCACAGCACAAGGTGTGGGGGAGGAACCTCCCACCACAGCACAAGGTGTGGGGGAGGAACCTCCCACCACAGCACAAGGTGTGGGGGAGGAACCTCCCACCACAGCACAAGGTGTGGGGGAGGAACCTCCCACCACAGCACAAGGTGTGGGGGAGGAACCTCCCACCACAGCACAAGGTGTGGGGGAGGAACCTCCCACCACAGCACAAGGTGTGGGGGAGGAACCTTCCACCACAGCACAAGGTGTGGGGGAGGAACATCCCACCACAGCACAAGGTGTGGGGGAGGAACCTCCCACCACAGCACAAGGTGTGGGAGGAGGAACCTCCCACCACAGCACAAGGTGTGGGGGAGGAACATCCCACCACAGCACAAGGTGTGGGGGAGGAACCTCCCACCACAGCACAAGGTGTGGGGGAGGAACCTCCCACCACAGCACAAGGTGTGGGGGAGGTACCTCCCACCACAGCACAAGGTGTGGGGGAGGAAGCTCCCACAGTCAGTTGCTCAGTGGGTGCCGGCCAGGAAGGACGTGTAGCCATGGTGTCCTCTGACCCTCTCCTCCTCTGTGTGCTGCTGACTCTCCTCACTGCCCTGACCCATGGGTGAGTACACTGACTCTCCCCGCTGCTGACCCATGGGTGAGTACACTGACTCTCCTCACTGCCCTGACCCATGGGTGAGTACACCGACTCTCCCCGCTGCCTTGACCCATGGGTGAGTACACCGACTCTCCCCGCTGCCTTGACCCATGGGTGAGTACACTGACTCTCCTCACTGCCCTGACCCATGGGTGAGTACACTGACTCTCCCCGCTGCCTTGACCCATGGGTGAGTACACTGACTCTCCCCGCTGCCTTGACCCATGGGTGAGTACACTGACTCTCCTCACTGCCCTGACCCATGGGTGAGTACACTGACTCTCCCCGCTGCCTTGACCCATGGGTGAGTACACTGACTCTCCCCGCTGCCTTGACCCATGGGTGAGTACACTGACTCTCCTCACTGCCCTGACCCATGGGTGAGTACACTGACTCTCCCCGCTGCCCTGACCCATGGGTGAGTACACGGACTCTCCCCGCTGCCCTGACCCATGGGTGAGTACACGAACTCTCCCCGCTGCCCTGACCCATGGGTGAGTACACCGACTCTCCCCGCTGCCCTGACCCATGGGTGAGTACACTGACTCTCCCCGTTGCCCTGACCCATGGGTGAGTACACGGACTCTCCCCGCTGCCCTGACCCATGGGTGAGTACACGGACTCTCCCCGCTGCCCTGACCCATGGGTGAGTACACTGACTCTCCCCGCTGCCCTGACCCATGGGTGAGTACACGGACTCTCCCCGCTGCCCTGACCCATGGGTGAGTACACGGACTCTCCCCGCTGCCCTGACCCATGGGTGAGTACACGGACTCTCCCCGCTGTTCTGACCCATGGGTGAGTACACCGACTCTCCCCGCTGCTGACCCATGGGTGAGTACTCGGACTCTCCCCGCTGTTCTGACCCATGGGTGAGTACACTGACTCTCCCCGCTGCCTTGACCCATGGGTGAGTACACGGACTCTCCTCACTGCCTTGACCCATGGGTGAGTACATGGACTCTCCTCACTGCCCTGACCCATGGGTGAGTACACTGACTCTCCCCGCTGTTCTGACCCATGGGTGAGTACACTGACTCTCCCCGCTGTTCTGACCCATGGGTGAGTACACGGACTCTCCTCACTGCCCTGATCACTGTACAGTTGTTCACTGACTGTACAGGGTGTGTACAGTTGTTCACTGTCTGTCCAGGGTGTGTACAGTTGTTCACTGATTGTACAAGATGTGTACAGTTGTTCACTGACTGTACAGTGTGTACAGTTGTTCACTGACTGTACAGGGTGTGTACAGTTGTTCAGTGACTGTACAGGGTGTGTACAGTTGTTCACTGACTGTACAGGGTGTGTACAGTTGTTCACTGACTGTACAGGGTGTGTACAGTTGTTCACTGACTGTACAGGGTGTGTACAGTTGTTCACTGACTGTACAGGGTGTGTACAGTTGTTCACTGACTGTACAGGGTGTGTACAGTTGTTGACAAAATACTTCAGATACAGTTCGTAATGAAAGACTGATGTACTAGATGGAGAAGCAAGCTGGGATAATTAAGGAAACACTAAGATGGGTAAAGAAATACCATATAAGACAGAAGACAAAGAGTCACAGTCAGAGACAAGGTCTCCAGCTGGGTGAATGTAACAGCTGTGTCCCCCCAGTGGTCGGTCCTAGGACCACTGCTGTTCCTTATTTATGTTAATGGTCTTCCTGAGGGAGTGATCTCCGGCATGTCAATATTTGTGGACGATGCCAAGATAATGAGGAATGTATAAACAGAGGAGGACTGCAGAATGTTACAAATGATCTTAACAAACTCCAAGAATAAACTAATTGTTGCTGGAGTTTAATCCTAATAAGTGTAAAGTAATGATGATAGGGAAGGGAGAAAAAAGTCCAGAAGGTATCTACATCATTAATGGAAGACAATTGCAGGAATCAGAGACAGAAGGATATTTGGGAGAGGATATAGTTACATCCCTAATAACAGAGGAGTTCGTGGCTCAACGTCCCCGCGCCCCGGACCCGGTCAGGCACATATTGACAGGGTGACATCGGCAGCATATGGCACGCTGGTAAACATTAAAATATCGTTATTAACCTAAACTATGACGCGTCCAAAGCAATCTACACAGCTTTTGTTAGATCTCACAGCCTTGGAGGACAGAAGTAATAGAGAAGATATGATAACAAAGTACAAGGTACTGAGTGGAATAGGCCAGGTGGATAAGGACTGCCTCTTTATGTTGAGAGAAAGTAGAATAAGAGGACACAGGTGAAAGCTGGAGTCGCAAATGAGTTGCAAGGAATATATGGAAATTTTGGTACCGTGTACGGGTCGTCAACAAGTGGCATGCACACAGAGAAGCAGTTGTGGAAGCCACCTCCACTTACAACTTTAAGGAAAGGTCTGACAAAAATATTGATTGAATAGTGAAGCTTTAAGACAGCGTGGAGAACAAGGCTGGTAGGCGGGGCCTAGAGAGCTAGACCTTACTCCCCAGTAGTCACTGATAGGTAAGCACTAGCACTCGCTGTTGTGACGTCATCAACACACACCACTAACACCAATGCTAGCACGCTCCATACCCATAGCTACTATGGAGGGTAGTACCCATAGCTACTATGGAGGGTAGTACCCATAGCTACTATGGAGGGTAGTACCCATAGCTACTATGGAGGGTAGTACCCATAGCTACTATGGATGGTAGTACCCATAGCTACTATGGATGGTAGTACCCATAGCTACTATGGAGGGTAGTACCCATAGCTACTATGGATGGTAGTACCCATAGCTACTATGGATGGTAGTACCCATAGCTACTATGGAGGGTAGTACCCATAGCTACTATGGATGGTAGTACCCATAGCTACTGTTATAAATATATGTGTGTTGGCTTCTATGGGGGACTGGTACTATTAAGGGGTAAGGGTAGTTAGAAGACAAGAGTATCAAATATGGGAGAGCTAAAAGGCCCGGCCCCCAAAATAAACTATCCACAGTAGTAATAACTTGCTACTAGACCATATATGTTAGTCTAAGGGTTGATCAATGCGCTCCCACACAGGAAGAAGGGATACTCTGTAATTCATGTACTTATTTATTAACCACTTAACAACCCCCCATATACACTCACACCAATAACAATAATAATAATTTTACCACACTATCTTACGTTAAAAGCCTTGGTCCACATAGGCAGGATACAAGGTTTACACTAATAACAAGCTAGGGTAAAGTACTACTGGATAAGCACTGAAGCTGGATGCAGCTTAGGGTAGAGACACCACGTGGGACCCTAATACAAAACACAACACTTAGGGTTACCCAAAACACTGGCAACTACTACCCCCAGGTCTCACCAATCGTTACTACCAGAGTAGGTACACTTAGAAATCATACAATACTTAACTTAATGGTACAGGAACTTAGGGTAAGGGAAATAAGTAAGAGGAGAAGGGAGGAGATTAGGGGGGCAGCCACAGAGTAGGTCTCGTCCGCACGAACGCCAGCCAGAGAAGGACCTCCTAGCGACCAGCTAGGCCTCCCATGTCGTGGTGCCGGAAGGAGCCTAATTGATCGTGCAGCTAAGCACATTAAAGATCTTCCCCTATGCAATGTATTGTTACTTTACAAATGATAGAAAGTATTAGTAAGCAAAGTTGGTGCCTATGTTATTATTTAATAATCAACCCCCAGCTCAGTCTTTAAATGCTCTTTGAGAAACAATAATAGTCGTACGTCTGGCAGGGAAGATACAAACAATTGCCGCTCGCGATGCACTCAACTGTACTACCAGAAAGTTTAATAGCTCAATTTTGACCTCTGGTTTCCACTGGAGAACCCAGGGTCGTAACAGCTACTATGGATGGTAGTACCCATAGCTACTATGGATGGTAGTACCCATAGCTACTATGGAGGGTAGTACCCATAGCTACTATGGATGGTAGTACCCATAGCTACTATGGAGGGCAGTACCCATAGCTACTATGGAGGGCAGTACCCATAGCTACTATGGAGGGTAGTACCCATAGCTACTATGGATGGTAGTACCCGTAGCTACTATGGATGGTAGTACCCATAGCTACTATGGATGGTAGTACCATAGCTACTATGGAGGGTAGTACCCATAGCTACTATGGATGGTAGTACCCATAGCTACTATGGAGGGTAGTACCCATAGCTACTATGGAGGGTAGTACCCATAGCTACTATGGAGGGTAGTACCCATAGCTACTATGGAGGGTAGTACCCATAGCTACTATGGATGGTAGTACCCATAGCTACTATGGATGGTAGAACCCATAGCTACTATGGAGAGTAGTACCCATAGCTACTATGGATGGTAGTACCCATAGCTACTATGGATGGTAGAACCCATAGACACTATGGAGGGTAGTACCCATAGACACTATGGAGGGTAGTACCCATAGACACTATGGAGGGTAGTACCCATAGACACTATGGAGGGTAGTACCCATAGACACTATGGAGGGTAGTACCCATAGACACTATGGAGGGTAGTACCCATAGACACTATGGAGGGTAGTACCCATAGACACTATGGAGGGTAGTACCCATAGACACTATGGAGGGTAGTACCCATAGCTACTATGGAGGGTAGTACCCATAGCTACTATGGATGGTAGTACCCATAGCTACTATGGATGGTAGAACCCATAGCTACTATGTAGGGTAGTACCCATAGACACTATGGAGGGTAGTACCCATTGACACTATGGAGGGTAGTACCCATAGACACTATGGAGGGTAGTACCCATAGACACTATGGAGGGTAGTACCCATTGACACTATGGAGGGTAGTACCCATAGACACTATGGAGGGTAGTACCCATAGACACTATGGAGGGTAGTACCCATAGACACTATGGAGGGTAGTACCCATTGACACTATGGAGGGTAGTACCCATAGACACTATGGAGGGTAGTACCCATAGACACTATGGAGGGTAGTACCCATAGACACTATGGAGGGTAGTACCCATA